TTTATTTTCCTTTCATTATAAATATATCTTTTATATATATATATATGTATAAATAATGGTAATAACATGTTTTCCGAATGCAGCAGAGCGTGAGCAATTTGCAGTCACTTTCCACTGATTATCGTCATTAAGTCGCCGTATTATCTCGTGTGCGCGCGCGCGGATGACCAACTCAATCGCACCGCACTGTCCATCGAGATTAATCTCGACGCTTTTCAAAGCCCGTAACACGTCGCGTTACAATCATGCGTGCCAATCATAGCGTCGCTGCCGCGGGCATGTAGGGATTAATCGGACGGGAATAACTCGCGCGCGATGGCGTTGAACGCGCGCGAAAACGAGGAACCAAAACCAAAACTTCTTGCAGGAGTTTTCCGTTGTCATAATCGAAACCCGGGAAATTTCTGTACACGTTAAGTGTCAACGAGACGTTTCATCGGTAAGCCTCAATTACCACGGCGATTTTACTCAGATCTCAGTATGGATATCTGCTGAAGTAATAGAGAAGAAGAACTCGCGTTCAATCTGTGTTTCTCCAACATCTTCGTAATTTCATACGCTATTTGCTCCTTGCTACTCATTGTAACGGCAAAAAAAAAAAGAAATAAACAAGAGTGAAAAAGGAAATGGAGTCCACATTTTCCTTTAGAATCAATACCTCTGCACTTTAACGCGTTAGGAAAAAATACAACATCCAAATATGTATCTTTTCCTTCTATTCCCGCATGGAATTTTTCGTTCGCGCTTGCCTCGTTTCAGGCAAAGCTTGTCATTATTCGCGCAATATTTCGCACTTGGTGATAAGAGCGCGCTCGAGGAGAAATTCGGAGATCATCGTATCGATCGATCCCGATAAAATATCTGCCCTGCGGGAGCAGAGAGAAACGAAGGCGAGACGAAGGTGATACTCTGACGAGGGTCGCCAGTGAAGATCCTCGAGTCTTGGTCTATTCTGACGCAGAGGGACGCGGGATAGAGAAAAAGGAAGGTGTGGCGAGTGTGGCGGCAAGGGGAGGTAGCAAGAGATAGTAGAATTGAAACTGAGAATTCTATTTCGCTCCCTCGGGAGCCGCAGGCGAGAAGATAGAGATAGTGCTCCTGGGAGCATCGGTGTGGGATAATATAGGCGACATGTGAGAAAGGTGAAGAGAGGAAGAGAGAGAAAGAGAGAGAAAGAGAGAGAGAGAGAGAGAGAGGAGGGGGAGGATGAGAAAGAGGGCCGCGCTCGGCATGCAAAGGGGCGTATTTCACGTCGCGGTTGACGTCGCGGCGATTTATTCGACGTTGTATTTCTGGCTTCAATGAATTTAAATGCGTAGAGCTTAGGACGAGAGCGTCACAGTATCTAACAGCGGCTGGCTCCCTGAACGTTGATCTTGAGTTTCTCTCACGCACGTACGCACGTACGCACGTACGACCGTTTTACACAAAATTCGTTCGAAGATCGCGGTATTCTATCATTAATTGTATATAGAGGGAAAGCCTGCGGACTTTAATATTCATGGTAGTTTCTTGACAGTCACTTCTAAGCGTAAGCCTCTTACCAATGTGAATTATGAGACGAGTATCTGTTTAAAGTTGAGCCATCAACCCGGAGATCGTGAGATTACATAATTACATATACGTATATTAATTTTCGCGGTAGATTTTCTCTTCCTGGATGGCTGCGATGACCGTAAGCTCCTTACAATGTGAATTATGGGACAAGCATCATTTTATACAATTAAATCAGAGATAAGATAAAAGACACTATATTTATTACGTACTTGTGCGTACATGTAACAGACATCTGAATGAGAAGAATTAATAATCTTGTAGGTCAGGTTTTTCATTTTCTGGTTAACTTGTGATTAGGCTTAATCTGCTGTTTAATCCAATGGGCTTCATCTATAATAATGTCATAGGTGAAACTCATTAGATAGAAATATCAGGTTAAGCTTAACTACAACCAGTTAACCAGATAATGAAAAATTGAGCCTTAGACGTCGTCGATCGCAGTCGACTGCGTTGAATCTTTTTGCGGAGCACAGAAATCTTACGCAGCAGATCTATGGAAGAAGTGCGACGCACATTACAGCCGTACGATTCACAGCAGCTTAGGTATGCGCGGAAACAATTACGCGAGAGCCGTCCGTCGTTCGCATTCCGGGTCTTACAGACCCAATTAAGATCTCCCGTCGAGACACGATACGCGAGACGGCCCTCGTAATTTCCCCGATGCAACATGTTCGAGCTTCTTCACTTCGTGTTCGCTTATCGTGTGTCGGAGACCCCCTGTCTGTCCCTTTCTCCCTTTACACGCTCGTTTTCCCGGAACCTTCACGCCGTTGTCATGGGAAGCGATCCACGCTTCTCTAAACTCGTTCGCCTTAATAATTAATGTCCCGCGAATTGAGACGTCTCGGTTTCGCAAATTGACGTGCCGATTAAGTTAAGGAAGAGAAAAGCCTCTAGACAATTAATTAGACAAACGAAGATGCGCATTTACGAAAGAAAAACTAGCATGTTTTTAATTTGATGAGACTTTATCAAATCCATGAACTCGAAGGTTTAAATCTCTCTCCCTCCCTCCCTCCCTCTCCTTTTCTCTCTACTTTTAAATATATTGAAATAACATAATATAATAAAAGAAAAAAAATAATGTATGAAGGATTACAAAAATATAATTTAATAATGTAAAATTTCATTTATCTATTCTCTGTTTCGTTAATTTTCCTCAATAAATAATCATTAATTGAAGCAACAATTTGGACAAGGGTTAAGTCGAGACTTAAACCCGACGTATAACGTTAAAGCGTTATACTTATTCTACGACTGGAAAAAAGATTGTTGAAGCTTTTACAGTCGCGACATTTTTAATTTATGCGAGCTTTTATTTTATTTAGAATGCATTTAATCTTCCTTCTCAAGTCTCCGCCGTAGTACATGCGCGTATATAAAATTTTCTTAATACTATGCTGCTGAAAATTTCGCAAAACAGTTTGCGGCTTCGTGTCTCCTTAATCTAGAAATTGCTCCATCATGACGCTTTTTATCAAGCTCGTGGGACCGTATAATTCAAGGAAAATAAAAGGAACAGGAGGTCTAAATCTGCGCGTCCGTTGTCGTGTACCTTGTTTCTGCTTCTTTTTTGTTTTATTGGAATTACAATTTTCGTCGCGTCCGTATTCAATAATGTAATTTTAGCTTCCTCTGAGATCGCATTCACGATATTATTCTCTTTAATATGGCTGAATCGTGGGAAAAATTTAAAATAATTATGGCACAGTTTATTATTCGATATAAAAGCATCGAACACAACACAATCCGATGCAAAGAAGCCGATACGTTTTTTTTATTTAACCTAGTTTACCTTTTAAATTGAATACCGTCTTGAATTAAACAAGAGTTGACCTAATAATCTATTTGCACTCCTGAAATTTAACTTGCAA